AACTTGCACAATTGGTGGCTGACTAAATACTTTTTTGCCCCACTGTATATTTTGACAACAAATTAGAGTAGAATTATTATCATTAAAAAAGTTAATAGAAAAAATGCCTTATGTGCAACTCAGATTTGAGCGTTGATTTTTAAATAAATATGATTACATTATTATTAAATCATTTTTGGTTTTAATTTTCAGCCAAATGAAAACTTTAATTTTAGCTCCAGTAAAAAACTTTTTTCAGTGCATCACTACTTTTATGGTGCTTTTTGTCCTTTTCATATATTATATATATATATATATATGTGTGTGTGTGTGTGTGTGTGTGTGTGTGTGTGTGTGAGTGGATTTTCAAAGTATGTCTCTGTTAATACGCACTTGAAAATGTGCACATGCAATAGGAAGTGTGTAATACCGTCTCAGGTCAGAAAAAAACAAAGCTCAGTGCCCTTAACCCATCTCTAAGATCACTTCATTTTTGAGGTGAAGTGCATCCCATCATTCATCAGATTAAAAAACTCATGTGGCCACAAGTCACGAGAATTCAAGGAAAACTTTCAGATAGTAGATAAGTGGATATTTGGTAGCAAATCATGAGAATTTGAGGAAAACTATACTAACTATTAGGGGTGTGTGTGATATATATCATCTGCGATAATATCATAATTGTTGTTTTAACAATATATGATTTGACATTATCGAGTATATCGAAAAAAACAAAAAACAAATAAAACACCTACAGAGTGCATGCATACATTATTAAAATCTAGTAGGTTAGACTAGTGTGCGTGTGCATTTAGAGTGTGTTCTTTCACTGCATGTTTCAGTCTAATAAAATGAATTTAAAATGATTTCAAAATTCAAGATATGGAATCAGAAAATGTATATAATTTCACACACAGAGTGCCATTTTTCTCTCTTTTCAAAAAATCAGCATGATTACAAATGTGAAATTGATTTTATACAACAGTTCAATAAACAAAGTTCATATTAAGAGACTTATGTTACTACATCGCCTATTTTTGCTCTATTTCGCCAACAAAAATTCCAAACACCACCACAGCACTGTTTTACGTCTCTGACCAACAAGACGGCATTTCGTTCTTGAATGAATCAACCGTTTAAATTATTTGGTTAAATCGCAACGACTCACTTATTAACAGTGCCTTGCTGCCACCTACTGGCGGTTTTAATTTCACATTTAAAATATATTTTCATTTTTTTAATAATTTCAAATATCAGTATTCAACTTTTTATGTTTAAAATACCAAAACCTTATTTATGTATTTGTAACTGCAGGTTAAATGCATTCATGTGCTGCATTAAACAGTGTGTAAATACATCTAAATGCCAATTCAGATGCAGCTTCTGTGTTTCCTCTGCAATGCAAAGATTAATTTTGTTGATACTGATTTAATTTGCTTGGTAACAGCCTAAATGTCTTATTATTCTAACTGACTGATTAAATGTAAGAATTTGACTCAAAAGATGAAGCACACTTTTATTAAAAAAAATGGCTTTATAAAAAGGTCAAAATGCCCATAAAAATAAATTTAAACTTATTGAAAAAGATTAATTTCTATCACTGCTGTGAACCGACCACCACACAGAATATGAAGAATATCAAAAACTTGGGAGTCAGCTGTCCACGAAAGTCCTTAAGGTGCCAGCACAATAACACACTCAGCAAAATTAGTCTAATTATCGGTATCGATAAAATTCCAGAAAATATCTTTTCTTTTTTCCAATATCGCACACCCCTACTAACCAGAGTTGTATATAACGCGTTACACGCACGCGTTGGTTTCCTACGGATTATTGTATCAGAGAATATTTGTTTTCGATGACCTACTTAATTTAAAAATAGACACTTCAAGCTTTCTTTAGACCTTTAGAGAAGCTTTCGGAGACTCAGAATGCAGAAAGCTCACCCTATTGGTTTTATTTATTTTACAAAACCAAAAAAGAAAAAAGTTGTTGATATTGCAAGTATATACAAATAATACTTATGTAACTTTTCAGTCAATATTAAACTAATGAAAAAACTACGAGTTTCACTTTGTAGTGTATTTTTTTAGGTTTGATAATTTGAAAAGTAAACTTGAAAGTAACTTGAAAGTAAAATAATTAGTAATCTGATTACTTTTTAAATGCAGTAATCAGTAATGTAATCAAATTACAATTTTAAAGAAGTAATTAGTCATTTGTAGATGATTTCTTTTTTTGAGTATCTTACCCAACGCTGCTACTAACTATACTAACTAAACTATACTAAAACTATGGAACTATACATAAGATATTAATTTACATTATACATATAACTACATATATTAATTTGAGAGCAAAACATAAGAATTTGAGGAATATTTCAAAATGTGAGTTAAACTATTACAAACTACATATAATTTGGTAGCAAAATGCGAGAATTCAAAGAATATTTCACATTGTAAATTAAACTGTTAGATATTACATACAATTTGGTAGTAAAATGTGAGAATTTGAGGAAAGCTGTATTAGTGCAAGTTACATTAATTAGTTGTTACATATAATTTAGGAGCAAAATATGAGAACCTGAGGAAAACTTTACAGTCGAAGTAAAATTAATTATATAATTTGATTTTTTTTTTAAAGAATTAGAGGGAAACCTCTTAATTAAAATAATTACATTTAATTTGGTAGTAAAACAACAATGAGGAAATTGCATACATGAGAATTCGAGAAAAAAACTTTACAATGTAGATTAAAGGGGTCATATGATGTTGCTGAAAAGAACATTATTTTGTGTATTTGGTGTAATGAAATGTTTTTATGTGGTTTAAGGTTAAAAAAACACATTATTTTTCCACATACTGTACATTATTGTTTCTCCTCTATGCCCCGCCTTTCTGAAGCGTGTCGATTTTTACAAAACTCATCGATCTGAAAAGCGAGGTGTGTTCCGATTGGCCAGCTATCCAGTGCGTTGTGATTGGCCGAATACCTCAAGCGTGTGACGGAAATGTTACGCCCCTTACCATATTGTAATGCCCTGTCCGGCCGGAGCGACGAGACAAAAGCATTAAAACCCATTATAAACGAGGCATTTGTTGCATCCAGTGGGGACATAATGAAGGATTATAATGACTTATCCTGTCTTTTTACACATTGCATCTCGCCGCGTAAACATAAAACCATGTCTGCATTTGTGATCAGAGAAATGACAAACTACAAGCCCTACTCTACACTGCTCAAAACTCGTGTTTGAATCGTCAGTGGCAAATCCTTTAATATAAAAAACGTACTTACAGTCTGTGAGTCAGAACAGCCGGCATTGTAGTCTACTCTACCAGGATCAGGAAACAGTCCTCCATAAAATGCGCTGCACACATCTGAATATTTGGGTTGAAGTGTTCTGGAACAGTGTTGTAAATACAACTTAACCACTGATTTCTAGTCGTGTCTTCTTTTGGAAGGCCAAACAAAGTAGTTTCGCTTTCACAACGAAACACACGGCGTCACACACGGTGGGCTTGAGTGAGCGGAGACCTGCGGCTAGAGTGAGCAGCGGCGGGCGGGCTTGAGAACGGCGCAGCCGGCGGATTCGTTGAAGGAGTGGCCGGTGGGCTTGCGGCAACCACATGTGATGACCCCGGGCTGGACTCCGCTTCGTCCACGGTGAAAGCAGATCCGGCAATCCACAGCGCAAAGTTGATGTATTTCCTCAGCGACCAGCACGGATCAGCTCCAGGCATGACGAAGCAGATATCGTCCTCTTTTGGAAGACCAAACAAAGTAGTTTCGCTTTCACAACGAAACACACAGCGTCTTCACGACATGGCTGCAGCGTCAACAATACTACAGCGAGAATAAAAGTTACGCCTTCTTTCTTTGCGTGAACATTTGGGCGGCGTTATGCAAATCTTCCCACATAGTGACGTAGATATGTGGGGGCGTGTTAGAACGAGGCGTTTTAGGTAGGCGTGGCTCTTAACTTTTATAAAGAATATCTCTTTGGATTTGAGACTTTAGTCTTTGTAACTTTACAGATCTTCTTTATGCACCAAGAGCTTGTAACCATTTAAAGAGAAAGGAAAAATTTAAATTCGCATCATATGACCCCTTTAAATTCATTTCTATATTATACATAATTTGGGTAGTAAAACATGAGAATTTGAGTAAAAACTATACAGTGTAAGTTAAATTAAGTAGTTATTACATATAATAAATTTGGTAGTAAAACAAAAATTTATAAGAAAATTTTACAGTTTAAGTTTTATTAGTTATATAATTTGGTAATAAAATGTAAAGTGCTGATGTAGAGAGGAGTATGTGTACAACTGAATATGTGTATTTTGTAAAACACTAGCACCTGTTTTATATCACTTAATTAGAAGCATCACAATGACTAAACTCCCTCATCTGTTACATAAGGACTAGGGCTGTGCGATTTGGGGGAAAATATCAGATGCGCTCGTGGAGACTTGCGGTGCGGAGCCGGGTGCGAGTATAAACGAGCATTATGAGACAGGCTGTGAGTGCGGCAAGTGTGAACGGCTCGTCCGTGACTCGGGATTCGCGCCGCGTGGGGCAGAGAGGAGCGAGTATGAGAAGCATTCACAGACACAGGCTGTGTGTGCACTCTTCTGAATTGGAATAGCCAACATGCATTATAAGCTTATTTCAAATTAATCTGTTGGGGAGATAAAATTTGTAAGATAACGTTCACGTACTAACAAAAACATCTAAGAATGTATCTTTTATTCTCCAGTACTGAAAACAGAACCGATACGGGAACTTTTTATATGCGCTGTGACGCAGCTCTTGCAAATTACCTTTTTTGTTTGTTGGCTGTCATTTCGAAGCTTAAGTTGCATACGGTTTTCTTTAGTTTTAATTTGCCTAACTATCGATCTGACCCAGTAGACGCCATAATCCCACTCTGTCTCTCTCCCGTCCCGTGTGCCGGGTGTTTATGCAGTTGGCTAGAGCAGTGCTGATTGGGGAGAACGGAGGTGCGTTCACTCTTGCCCAGGGCAAGTAAGACTGTAACTCAAGGCTGGCAGTCATGCATATGCTCTGGAACAGAGTAATATCATGTCCACGTCGCAGGCTTTGCGATTAGGAAATCGCTACGTCTCAAATCGCGATTTCGATTAAACGCACGGCCCTAATAAGGACTTCTTATTTTTTTTATTTTAAACACACACACACACACACACGATCTTCATGAAAACTTGAACACTTGGGGCAAATACAGGAAATATGTCATGTACTGTAATGGCTTTTTGACGCGATCGACCCGGGTTCGATCCCGCCTTTTGCCGAACTTTTTTTCCCTCCCTTTTCAAATCTCGTATTAGCAATGGATTATATTTACACTAAGTGAAAATAGCAGTATTTTTAGCGATATGCTATTTACACTAAGTGCAAATACCTAGTTACACTATGTTAAAATAGCAGGATTTCTACTATCAAGTATACTACTTGTTGCAAATAGTGGCAATTATCTGCACTTCAGTATTGTAGTACATTATGAAACAGTATGCAATAATAACGTATTGAGTGTAAATAATTTTAATTTTAATTATTAAATGGATCCCACCTTATTGGTACAAATAAAGCCCTCCCTACACCTACCCTAACCCTACCCGATACTTTATTTTCAACTTTTTGATCATTTCCTTAATTTTTATTGAAAATAAATGCCTTTACGATGTGATACGAGATTTGAAAAGGAAGGGAAAAAAAGTTCAGCAAAAGGCGGGATCGAACCCGGGTCGATCGCACTTATCCATCTGCACCACTGGAGCTGATAATTTACAGCCACTTTTATCTAAATGTAAATATACACCCCGTATTTTTTATTCCAGAGTAAGGGCAATTCATACAATACATTTAAACTGAGCTACTTTAAAACCATCTCTGAAATTTCTACCAGGACTCTGCTGTTCTTCGGCTGGTTCTTCCCTGTATACGTTGATTGACAGATGTCTCGTCCAGTCAGCGGTGAGTAATCCCAAACCAATGGCACTGTCTCAAACTATACCTACTTTTTCCGGTTTGTCTGATTTGTCGTTGTGTTTTCTGACTTGTTATAATGTTTTCTGAATTGTTGTAATGTTTTCTGAATTGTTGTTGTGCTTTCTGAATTGTTATTTTGTTTTTTAGACTTGCATTTGCGTTTGTAATTTGTTCTTTTGTTTTCAGAATTGTGATTTGCTTTGCACTTCTCGGCCACCATAAATGCAAGGTTTGCGAGCAAATGCAAATGTACACAAAGTTTCTCACGGGAACACATTACTATTACATATTACATTTACATTGCAAACATTTTGTGAGCCAACGTAAATGTTTTGTAAGTGAATGCAAAAGTTTATTTGCTGACTGACATGATCATAAAGGTACGCTCACGTTAGTGAAATCACAGCAAGATTTTGCGAGCAAAAAAAGGTCCGCTGTATCTTCTTAATAGCATAGCTATGGAAGCACCACCACTCACACAGAAGTCACTTTCAAACCAAGCAGGTTTTTGTTGCTCAATGCAATGGATTAATGATAATGAGGGTGAAATATTTCCCCATGCAGATTTCACATAAGGTTCAAGTTGGTCAAGTGAATTTGTCACGCTGACCAACAGAAATCTGCTTGGTTTGAAAGTGACTTTTCATATGTTCAAAGATGTTTCATATATCGCTACACTACTGGAACTTTTTTTTCCCACGAAAAACTCTAATATGACCACACCTTAACTACTATATTATACAAGGATCTCACTGTATATATATTTTGCTGGTGTGTCCTCTCATTACACGTCAACATCGCCCTGGACAAACACAAGAAGCTGATCACACAGCTAACCAGCTGCACCTGAATTACATCAAAGAAGAATCACTGTGAATACAAAGAACATGATCTCACCGAACAAGCTCTCATGCTGTTCTGCTGTCCCGTACAGATTCAGACTACACTGAGGGACTTCCTCATGACTCCCGACTCAACGCATCATCCGTCCCATCCTCCAAACTATCTCTCCATTGTCCCCTCTATCCCCCACCTTTACAAAAGCTAAAAAAATGTCCCCCTCCATGCTAATATTGCATTGAAATTTGGGTCTGTGACTCATCATTTCAACTAGGCGTACTTCAACACTATTTTTGCTTTATTTTTGCCTAGATTAATAGAGATGACAATTAATAAAATTATTGATTATTAAGTTGTCATTCTAGTTGACAGCACGCAGACAAGTAAATGAATACAGGCTCAAAAAGCTCCCTGTTGAATCATCTTGTCCACACACACACAGGTCTGCTATTCAGCTGTCGTTCTTTCGCATTCACTAGCAAAGTAATTACAAAGCCTCATTATGAGGGTCCAAGTTTAAGCACATGCAGTCTCTTGAGGACAGACTGGACTAAAGAAGACCATCCCATTCATGCAGAACGGCTGCTTCTGTTTGAGTCAGAGTGTTTATTCAACTAATCTGGCACTAAGATGCATTTAACCTCCCTCTCACAACAACTATCACTTTATTCTCAAGAAATCAACAGGTCAAGGATCTTTCCTTGTCATTTAGTGTGTGTGAGTCAGGTTTTGAAATGTCCCCACAAGCACAGTAAAGTCTGAAATCACTCACATCATGTGGATCAGCCAACAGTCCTCATGAGGAAAACAAATACAGAGTTCTGGCATGAAACTCTAGATGGTGCAGTCCGATAGGTCTAACTCAAGCTGACATAATGGCATCATTATTACACGGCACAGCTGATTGGTTCTCTCTTGTATGGGTAGCCAATGAGCTCGCTGCTCAACATTCAAATATATGACTAGTGCTTGCTGTAGCAGTTGCAGCTTGCTTCAGAAACCCTCCACCTTCCCCAGCTCCACCTGTATAGACCTGCTATGGGGTGATCATGTATGCTATATGGTAGCGCTGTGCAATGAATCGAAAAATAGTTTCGATTTCGGCCTCCAACGATTATGAAAATACAATTATCAAGATAAAATGATTATTGCGCCCCATTCCAATGGTGCACTTTTGTTCCTCCATAAAAGCCCAATTTTACATGCAAATCAGTAAAATCATGTAATGTGACTTTTGCAAAATGGGACGTGCTTGGTTTATTGAAGTGTATTAGATTTATTAGTGTTTATAAAAGCGTGAAAGAGAACTTGCGCTGTTCCTCAGGAGGATTTCTGTGATGCGCTCAGAGACGGAACACAACACGGACATGTAAAGTCATCTTTTAGCTCAAGCTGCGCACCTAAAAATGTGTGAAAATGCGGCGCTTAGTGATTATTCATGTAAATCTTTGTCGGTCATGTAATAAATGAACGTAAAGAGTTGAGAATGAAAATACACAATAAATTGGATCTGTGTGGCTCTTAAAGTGACAGCGGGCTATATTCCTGCTGCAACTGTGTGCTTAATATTAATAAAAAAACAAAAGACAAATTCAAAATCACACACTGCTCTTGAGTAGTATCTGACTTTTGTAGCTTTAATAAGAAACAAAGAAAGTTTAATTCTTACAGTGAAGACTATGCTGTTTTATTTTACATTTGATTATTCATCTCCAGTGTTGGGGGTAACACATTACAAGTAACTAGGGCTGTGCGATTAATCGAAATCGAATCGAAATCACGATTTGAGATGTTTGAGATGTTCGCAATGCCTGCGATGTGGATGCGATATTACTCTGTTCCAGAGCATATGCATGACTGCCATCCTTGAGTTACAGTCTTACTTGCCCTGGGCAAGAGTGAACGCACCTCCGTTCTCCCCAATCAGCACTGCTCTAGCCAACTGCATAAACACCCACCATAAAAAAAAAAAAAAAAAATGGAACGCGGGACGGGAGAGAGATAGAGTGGGATTATGGCATCTACTGGGTCAGATCGATAGTTAGGCAAATTAAAACTAAAGAAAACCGTATGCAACTTAAGCTTCGAAATGACAGCCAACAAACAAAAAAGGTAATTTGCAAGAGCTGCGTCACAGCGCATATAAAAAGTTCCTGAATCCCGAGTCACGGACGAGCCGTTCACACTTGCCGCACTCACAGCCTGTCTCATAATGCTCGTTTATACTCGCACCCGGCTCCGCACCGCAAGTCTCCATGAGCGCATCTGGCAGTATGGATGAGGCTTGAGGCACGCGCGCAACCTGTGTCGACTCACGCCTGCCTCCGCATTTAAAACTAATGTAAATTCAGTTTAACTGCTTGCTAATTTCACTTGGATGAAATGAAACATTCAGCACATTTCCCACTTGCTCTTAAAATCCCAAATACTTCAAATGAATAAGTCAGCCTATGTAACATATGTAATACTTTAATAATTGACTTAAATAATGATAAAAAAATAAAAAAATATTTTCTGTGAAATTCAGTAATTAAGTTAATTATGTATAAGTAGTTATACCATTATAATCTTGCCTGCTGAAGAAAAAAACAATAGAACCCTTCCCAAAACACAATAACAAATGTAATGGATTTCAGGGTTATAATGGGAATTGTATTGGTTTTAATGTAAACTATAATGCTATCTATTTGATGGCTTCTATTGGTGGGATGTAATCTGGCAGATGGCAACCAATAGAACAACAGTAATTCCTATTAGAATAATGCCCAAAACAAAAAGGTGTGTTTAATGGAAACTATAAGAATTTCTGTGATGGTTTCTATTGTTTTTTCAGCAGGGTAATGATACCCATACTTGTGCTGCACATTATTGGCAATATTGAGCTGAAGCTTGACTTGCAAATCAAATCAAATCAAATTGCAATCGCAATATCTGTCAAAAAAAATCACAATTTGATAATTACTCACAAATCGCACCGCCCTACAAGTAACGCAAGTTACGTAATCAGATTCCAAGTAAATAGTAAAGTAATGCATTACTTTTTAATTTAGAAGGAAATATCTGAGTTACTTTTTCAAATAAGTAACGCTAGTTACTTTGTTTCCCATGTCTTGACTGACAGCTCTCGTGTTGCCATGTTGAGAGAAATCGGGAGTAAGTGCAGAGGCGTTGTGTGTGCTGTGATGTTACTGTAGTTCTAGACTAAATATGAACATTATTTACTCTTCTTACTGCACAAAAACAGATTCAGTAGGCTATTCCTCAAAATGAATAAAAACAGTCAAATGCAAACTCAGAATAGTATATAAACCTGCAATAATTAAATGTTAAACAAGACAAATATCATTAATGTATTTAATCCCATTTTATTAACCAATGTCTTTGCTACTGACCTTCGATGATCTAATTCAACGTACTAACAAGCAAAAATGACACATCTGTGTTTAATTTTTGTTATTGCTGAATAGTGTAGAACGTTCTTCTCCTGCGTCATATTCTTCATGCAATTTGTTTCAGCTGCGCCCTCTACTGTACAGATGTGAATTTACATTTCCTTCAGCCTGAGGCGTATTCATTTCACTTCTGTTGTGAAAGGGCTTTTACATTTGTAAAAGAAGAACTTGTTATATTAAAAACAAACAAGCAAGACCTGCCCAGATTTAAAAGGTAACTCAAAAGTAACATAACGCATTATTTTCCATAAAAAATAACTAAGTAACGTAATTAGTTACTTTTTTAGAGATTAACGCAATATTGTAATGCATTACTTTTAAAAGTAACTTTCCCCAACACTGTTCATTTCTGTAGTCGGCTGTTAACCGCATGAGACTTGCATAAAAAAAACCTTAAAGCACAGTTTGTTTTATTTGTATCTTTTCATTCTATTGGATTTTTCCTTTGCTTTTTTATTACTGATAGTTTAATTATTTTCAATAATTCTGAGGACATTTTGTTTGTTTGTTTCTAATAGTTATCTAGTACTCTGCTTTGGTATTGAGAATTGTGAAATTTCACTGGTCTCTACAATGTAGATGTCATAGCAACCTTATTTACAGAAAATATATTTGATATGTATCTTGGTTATTTCATGTATATTATATTTCTTACATGCTCACAGCAGCATGTTGTGGATGTATTGGTTGTAGCAAGTCTCGCATGGTAGTTTAAGTAAATGAACATTACTCTTTCTCTGTGTTACGTGCACCAAGATATCCCCAATTATTTATCAGCAAAAGTAAAATGAGTAATCCAGCAAACTTTTGACAGTTTCATGGCTTTTGTACAAATTACAGACCATACTTTCACATTTTTGTATCCTTGCTCACATACAGCTGTTTATTCTAGCTTCAAAAATATATTTGATATGTATCTTGGTTATTTCATGTATATTATATTTCTTACATGCTCACAGCAGCATGTTGTGGATGTATTGGTTGTAGCAAGTCTCGGTACTCCGCCAAGACCAAATACATTAAAGGGGTCATATGATGCGATTTCTTGAACCATTCAGCTGCACAAACACACACAATAAAAGATGCTTTTACTGCAAAGAGTGTGATTTTCAGTGCCCTTCTACTTTGCCAAAGATTTTCACTTTAAAGAACTTAATCTACCTGCACACATCTGTTCAACAGTAGACACTGACCCTACAGCAAACACACACACACACACACAGAGTGCTCTGCTAGGCGATATGTGAAACTCTCAGAACTGACCCATGTTTCCACTGACCTGAGAGTCAAATGATGACACACGTTGCAACCCCACAAACACACAGTGCATGACGGTCTCTGTTTACAACTGAAAACATTGAAAACATGTTACTAGTTGAAAACATGATATTTGTAAGAAAAACCGGGTCATTCCATGTCAAATCAAACAAATTTCAGAAAGTTCCCCAGTTATAATATAATTTTTTATGATGAAAGATGAGCATAAATTGCAATGAAAGGACAAAATAATCCACTATTTTGTAGACACTAGACAGAGATCAAAATACAATTTTCACCTGATATTTGGAGGGGTAAAAATGACTTCAGAAAGATGATAGCATCATCATTTAATTGTTACAC